CAGTTAGGAACGGATGTCACTGGTGTTGACGGGAAATCTGCCGATCTTGTCGAGGTGTGGTGACCCTAGGACGACCGCTCAGAGAAAGGTCATCTGTGGTCTGTGTAGCATTGTAGTGGTGCAGGAGACGGTAAATTGTGGTTATGTTAACGTTCAAATGACGGGCAACATCTTGCACAGACTCTCCAGCTTCCAAACGTCCGATAGCCTGGTTTCTCTGAATTTGAGTTAGGCGTGGCATTGTTGACCAAGGAGTGGTAGGTCCAAGAATCGGATGGACATATAATAGGGTGCTGTGATATAGCTGGGTTATTGCAGACAGTGGCTATAAGAACATTCACTTACTCCTCTATTCTGCAATAAGTGTACAGAAGAGCAGGGATGCATCCAGCTCATTAACAAACTGGGCCCATTGTCCCTCTGACTTTAAGAAAGTGGGCCAACACTCATATGAAAATGGGCCAGTACTAAAGGGACCCAAAATTGAATGGTTTTACTAGTTTGTGTTCATAACTCAACTGCATGCACACCCAAATTTAAACTCACAAGTAAAATATCTAGGATTAGGAGACTGACAATCAGGGTAATGGAAGTGATGCAGGGGGTAAATTGGCCTTCTGCAGAACTATATAACTTTCGAAAATTTTAATTTCACTTACCAAACATTTAACCACATATCACCACAACAATCTGCACTTCTAATGAAACTAATCACACAAAGTCACAATCTGAAGAAGTCAATAAAGTCAACTTGCACTGAAATAATAACTTACTCTCGCACTGAAATAGCATCCTGATTTGTTTTTTCTTCCAGTTTATATAGCAGCACATCCACAGTCAAATTGCCAGTATTTCCCAGATTAAGGTTCACTGACTATGTCGTTTCCAGCGGTAGAAACTAACAGTTTCAGTCCACTAGTCCTTATAATGATAGCACACAGCAAAACCTTTAAAACTGTCAAAATTCTACTAGTCCTTAGGATACCTTTACTATTGGGCAGTTTGCCAAGGACTATAGGACTAGTGCCAATTTCTAACCCTGGTTTCATCATCACATATCAAGTTCTCACTTGGACCAGCTTCTTCATTCACAGCCTCGTCACTAACCCTGTCTCCGGCTACGTGTCATCTAGTGCTGGGACAGGGGAATCTCCACCATAAAAAAACCCAATGACCCTTTTCTTTATTTTAAATAACCCGCTACCTGCTCTTCTCATTGCCACTTTGCTGTTTGAATATGGTCACTCACTCACTCAGTCAAGGCACAATCGGCGATAAGGTTGTGTTTGCACGTGTAATTAATGTCTTGGTACGTAATCAATAACGATAATTAGTCAAATCTTTATTTTGAACATACCATTTTCAACGTAATAAGCGCTTAGGGCGCTTTCAAAATTAGAAATAGGGGGCTCTTATTAGAATATAATTTTGGTGAGAAAAAAAACAGAGTTGAAAGATCGTAAATTTCTAGGTTTATGTACCTGAAATGAAACAAAAGAAAAGTCTGTGCGTATTATACACGACAGATATATATTTTCCAGAATTTAAATGCCCATAATTAAGGGTGCATATAACACACGAGTGCATATTATACATGAATAAATAAGTCTTGTGTACATTGATCAATCGGAAGAGGTGCTAATTGGGATTGTTCACTAGCCAATATATTAGCAAATATCACCCTGGGCGCTTATTAGAGTGGGGCACTTATTACGTCGAATATGGTAATTAATTTCGAGTGTGCTCATATGGAGTATTATTTTTCCTGAAAGTATTATGTAAAATTTGTCTCCATTTAAGTTGAGAAGTGAAAACAAATTTCAATCACAATACCTCGTAACACACGAATGTGCCCCCACACACACAAAAAGAAAGACTGACAAGATGTACATCATGACACCTCATAGGATACAATCGTAACATTTTATTCAACTACAATATCTCACTAGCATTAATGACCCGTGAAGATCCGGGATAGAATAGGTCTTCCTCAACCCATGCTTGCCATAAAAAGCGACTATGCTTGTCCTAAGAGGTGCCAAACAGGATTGGGTGGTTGCTGACTTGGTTGATGCATGTCATTGTATCCCCATTGCGTGGATCGGTGCTCACTGGACTGTCTGGTCCAGACTCGATTATTTAGCCGCTGTCATATAGCTGGAATATTGCTGAGTGCGGCGTTAAACAACAAACAAACTAACAAACACTAGTTTTAATACTGAAGATAATATTCAGCTCAGGCTAGTTAGACAGATGACTGCATTAGAAATTGTTTTACCGATGTAGTGATACAGGGATCGATTGATAAGTTCTGAGCCTCACACAGAAAGACTACACCTGAAGAAAAAAATCATTTATTTTTCAGCATAATCCCCTTCCATATTGATACACTGCCAAGTTTTATCGCAGCTTCGTAGAAGTCCTTCTCTTGGCTGTTATAAAAGTTTGCCACAGCTGCTATGACGTCTTTCTTCCAGTTGAACCTTCTTCATGTTTGGAAACAAGATCAGGAAAGCAAGGTGGGTTGCTGAAGGTGTTCAAAGCCAAACTCATGGATTATAGTGACGGCAATGGCTGATTCATGCACTGGTGCATTATCCAGATGTTTGAGCACACCTTCTCAGCTTCCTAAATATCTAATATCTAACTCTACATCAAGAGCTTTCATGTGACAATACAATACACGATACATTTCTTACTGTATCGATACAAAATGATACACTTGCTAAACTATATTACCTACTGACACCACAGAGTTATCATGAGTCAAATATTGCAAAATGTGTTGTAATTAGCTTTTATGTTCACTATTAAATAAAGCCAATATGAACATGTCTACAGCTAGCTTTTCCTTTTGAACCTGCTCTGTCATATTAATAGTCAAGAAGTTTCCACATAAATATGATATTTTTGACATAAATATGCTTATCACGATACCTGTCGTATCATGACCATATATATCATGATACAAATCGCATCTTGATCTTGCCTTATCGTTTTAGCCCAAAAATATCTTAGTCATATTTTCATCCTCTAAATGCCTCAAGAGTGCAGCATCATATGCCTTTTGGAAGGTCAACCATGATGACACCTTCAGCACCCCAGAACATGGAGGCCATATCCTTTCCAGCTGATGGAACTGTCTTTGCTTTCTTTGGTGGTGGTGATGTCCAATGCTTCCACATTTTGATTGTTATTTGAACTCAGGCTGAAATTGGTGAACCAAGGTTTCATCCATTGTCACAAATCGCTGCCAGAACCTTTCGGGAACAGCTTCAAGCAGAGCTAAATTATCACAAGACGTCATGCGTGTGTTTTTTATCAGATGTCAGAAGCATTGGAACCCAAGGAGTTGATACTTTTACCATTGCCAAAATTTCTGTGATAACAGTGTAATCTCACCATTGGGCTCAGTTATTTGCCGGTCGGTCACCGCGATATCGTGGATTCTTTTGATCGTGTCTGGTGTTGCTGACGCCACAGGCCTTCAAGGATGGGTTGTCTTCAAGGCTCTTCCTGCCATGCTCAAACTCTGCTGCCCACCTCTTTGAGGTGGCACAGGGAGGAGCATCTTTTCCTCGAGTTATACTCATGTCTTCATGAATGACTTTGATGCTAAGCCCTTTTTCGGTAATTACTTGATGTACTGCAAGTTCCTCAAGTACGTAAATTTTCCAAAGGTCACAGGCCCCTGCTTTATTTACTTACTAGTCACAAGTTCGAAACAATTTGCTCAGTTGACTCAAGTTTCTGTGGATATACCTCTATGACATCATGTAATGTCCACAACGAAAGATTTAACTTTACTCAACTTCCTGTTTGAGGCTAAGAACTTAATTTGTAAAAAAAAGAAGAGTTTGGAACCTAAGTCCATCTTGTTGCCATGGAAACGTAAAAAATACAAATTTCTAAAATTTCTAAATAGCAAAAGGCACCAGTTCAGCATGTACTTGACAGACCTGCAAAGTTTCATGAAAAAATACGGTTTCTGAGTTATGCTCCGGAAATGAAACGTGACAGACGGACGGAGCCCGTTTCTATATCCCTCGCCCAACAAAATAAATTGATTGTTGAAGGTTGTTTCCCAATCAGATTAAGAGTACTTACCAGAACATGCAGATGAAACAGTGGCAAACTAAAGATAGTGCTGTTTAATCCAGTTCTTACATGACATAATTAGCACAATCATGATAATGATAAAAAAATTCTTCATTGCCAAAGTGTCGGTGATAATATAATGTACTCTCTCCTGTTAAATGCCTAAAAAACTAAATGTGGTGATCACTCAATTGCTGGTGGATCATCACCAAATGCTGGATTAACTGGATCATTTAAACAATTAAATTATTCTTATTTGTTATCATACCTAAGATTCAGTCTCTGCCAAAACAGTTTTAGACTGCTGGCTCGAACATAGCTCAAACTCAGCCTCTTATCACCATTTTCTAAAGAATATGATGTTATTATATGGAATATCACTAGTTGAGTTTAAAACACTGATCAGATTTTTACAAGACTCAGGCTTCTGACTCGTGGCCTAATTCGCAGACTGAAGACTATTCATACATGGATTATTTTATGGGAAACAAAACCTTGACATGATTTTACTGTTCTAGAAAAACAACATTTCATTGCAACATTGAGAAAACAGATGACATATTAATTTACCGGAGCTTAAAATATCTCAAGGCAACAGAAATAAAAATACCTTTCGCAGAATAATATAGCAATCTTTCACCTTTAAAGTAAAGAGATCAAGTGTATTGAATTTCTTCTCAATGATGGTGAGTCAACAATGATTTTGTTCTTATGGCTGTCATGAATCTGTTATAAGAAATGTATTTTCAATCAGAGAAAACAGGGTATCTCTATATGACTTGACAGCTATCTGGTGCATCTGAGCCTACAGGTTGTGCAGTATATTGATGCAATCATTGGCTACTTCTATTGTGTGTATCTGTGAATGATGAATGTACATTTGTTATGGATCATGTGTTTACCTGGAGTAATGGTCGTGTCAGACACGTCAGAGTTCGGACTTCCATTTGTTTCTTCATCTCCCTCCTCCACCTCTTCTATCTCTGGTTGTTTTTTCAGCGGTGTTTTGCCCGACCGACGTTCAGACTCCGCCATGGTCATTTAGGGCCACTGAAACAAAAATAACAACTTGCTTATTATGAAGGCATGTATAATGAATAGATGAAAACTGGTCTTGTCTTGAAGAAGTCCTTCTCGAATTTCAACATGAAAATAAAACAAGAGTCATCAGAAAGATGACATATCCCCCCCGGCAGCTGTCTGTAAAGTAACCACAAGTAAATGTGCAATTCTGTATGTAATGAGTCAAGAGTTGAATGTTCTTGAAGAAGCATACATTGTTTACCCACAAAAGATCCACCATATGGTCCACCAGATGGTCGCATCCATATAAAATGGAAAGTAAAACAAGTGTGTTTCTGTGGGGTTTTTTTATGCAAACAAATGACAAATTACAAGAAACAATAACTAAACAAGCGTATAGTCAACGAAGTCATCTATATCCCCCGCCTATTTTAACACGTTATGGTCCCAAACCAGGTAACTGACCAAACATTTCTCATAGCCCATGTCAAAATAGCTGCAATGGAAATTCTAAATTAAACATTTCTAAAACTCCTTAATATCAAATGGCACCAGTTCAGTATGTGCTTTATATATAGACATGCAATGTTTGGCAAGGAAATATTTAACAGCTTATTTGTTATACTCCATAAGTGAACCCAACCTATATTAAAACTTAAATCCAACTTGTTGCCATGGAAACGTAAAAAATAAAAAATTATAAAATTCCTAAATAGCAAAAGGCACCAGTTCAGTATGTAGTTTAAACCTATGAAAAGTAACATGGAGAAATATTCAAGACTGCTTCGGAAACTAACATCACTCACAAAGTGAGCCTATGTCCAGCATGCTTTCATGAAAATTGGAAAATAAAAAAATTGGAAAAATTCCAAATTAGCAAAAGGCACAACTTCACCACTTAAAGGGCAAGTTCACACGGAAATGAACCAATTTTTCTTGTACTTTTTCCACATTAAAAGTGTTAACATAGAAGTGTCATAGACAAAAATATAAAAACATCATATTTAATTAACATATTTTTTGCATTAAAACGATTTATATTTTTCACATTTACCAAGTGTTCTATTTCCATAACAAAAACACCATGGCTTATGCCCCTTGCAATATGACGTCATTGGTGCCAATTGATAAACATTATGACGTCATGATGCTTTGTTAGAGCCGCTTCACGTGGTGTAGGTACAGTTTTGTGATTCTAGCCTCTCAGATGCCAGCCAGAATTGTGTTATGCTGAGTCACCACTGCGCCGGAGTGTGTCGTAGACCATGTTGTTTTACCGCAAACTGGTCCTTGATATCTTTTGCGTTGAGAATAGACAGGGACCCAGTTGAATTGGCACCAATTACGTCATAATCTAAGGGGGATAACTCAGGCCTATTTCGCTCGTAAAACGAAGGCCTCATAACGACATATCATTTTAACACTATTGTGAGCTTCCTACTTTCACTGTGAAAAAAAATGAGCGTATATTTTCAAACACAGATACTAACTAATTCTAAAATTGCGTTTTGTTTAGAAAAAGAAAGAAAGTGATTTTTGCGTGTACACTTCCCCTTTAAGTGATATTAATGCAAAGTTTGATGAAGAAATATTTAACGGTTTCTGAGTTCTGCTCCGGAAACGATTCAGACAGACAGACGGACGGACGGACGGACATGCCCATAGCTATATCCCCCCGCATTATATGCCGGGGAGATAAAAAAAATGCAATATTTCTAATTACTGCTGACATGGCAAATGAGGACAAAGATGGATTATACTTCTAATATTGTTGAATGACAGAATAATGACAAAAACATATGGAACTGCTGGGACATGTCAGCATCAGAAACGACTATTTTTTAACAAACTATTGAATGTAGAAGGCCACTACACCTGCTGGCTAGTTCCTGGAGTATTTGTTCTAATTTATTGTCCAGGTTTCTTTTGCCCATTCGGGCACTTCGGACATTACAACCTTGTGTGTTGCTTGTAAATTAGTTGTACTACAGTTCACATGAATACAGTTACAATGACATGCAATCAACCAAATCTCCGAGCCAGACCACCTGATCCAGTCACCTCTTATGACTAGCATACGTTGTTTGGGACCAATTCTTACCTGGAATCTTAACGACAAGCAAAGGGTGTTGGGGACACATTCAACTTGAGGTCCCCACTGGGTTCACTATTACACTGACTGAATGATTACACCCCCAATAACAACCAAGATCAGATAACTCACTTTATCAGTTTCAACAAAGGAAGTCCTTCCATTACTAATTCTGATCTTTGCGAAATATAAATGTTACAAAATCAGCAGTATAGAAGCAAGTTAAGATGGCATCACATGTGCATTATTTCACCCTGGAATCTTTGGCTACAATATCCATAATGGAAGCTCTGAGTATACACAATAGATACAACAATGTTATTTCTACCTTGCTGAAAATCTTTACAGCTGTCTGTTAGTGTCAGCTGAACCTCAATTTGAATGCAAAAATTTATATATTTAAGCCTCCGATCCATGGTAGAGCTGAAATCCATGGCAGACTGTCTCATTTACGTCAGATTGAGAAGTCAATGACATTTTTAATGTTGTATGTCATGTCAATAATGATGTCATTCAGATATCCAGAGCCAATTAAAAAATCTATGGCACCTTCCATATCTATACTACTACACGTCTCCAAGAGGGAGGGAATGACACTGGTGTTTTGTGGTCATTGTATTATCACTTACAGGGAGACTTGTACACTGTTCTTGACAATTACATTTCTTATCTAACATAAATTCTTAGGTCCCATTCTCAAATCTCATACATCAGTCACTTCCCCCCAAACTTGTGAATACTGGATCTTCCGCTTCATCCGATGATCACATGACAAAGGCCACGGCCACGGAGAAAATGACTACTGTCAAACTCATCGTCGAATATATATAATGGTGACATCTTGATAAGTGTAAAAGGTCTACATCCCATGACAAACAGCTGGTTACTGACAAAGAATTGGAGACAAAACAGTCTGCAGATGGCATAATCCCATGTCTGCTACAGAAAGGATATCCTGTCCTGTGCCATGAGTTGAGCAACAGTGAGAATCCAAGGAGAACTCACGGAACAGAATATGGCCCATGATGATAGAATAAATAATTGGTAGAAACTGACAGAACACATCTTACCCAAACATTTAATGTTATGTTCTCCAAAATGAACATTTTTTTTTTATAATTCAGGAAACATAATCCTATTTATATTTCATCAGATTCTGGCAAAGTTTTACTTGACTTTCTCTCAGCTGTTTACTGTTTAAGTTGAGATTAAAAAAATGACGACAAATCTACATACATGACATCATCGATGTCATTTAACAATGGAAATGGAAATCTGCCCTTACTGGGACCATCCACCAAAGATTTGAGATACGCCATTGATTCAAGTCCTGCAGTATAAACAGTGATCCAAATTAAAAATGCATGAAAGTAAATGGGGCCTTGTCATAACCTCAATGTCAAAAGTTAAAGATATGAGGGGTCTCTAGATTCAAACATAATTCGAGCAGTAGACATCAAGGACCCCAGGACCTCCCTTAATTTCTAACTCTGATAAGTATAACACACACCATAAAAACTGGCTACATAGATATATATATACTTGTGGAAAAAAAAAAGGTGCTGTCCTGTAAATGTTTTGTTATTGAAAGTAACAAAATAATATTTGGTCATTCGTCTGATCAATGGTTTATCATAACAAATTCATTGACAAAACCCATACCTGGTAATAGGAGACAGAGCGACACACCTTACAAGAGGGGTGGTGTAACAACCCAATTAACAATGTCAATATGAGGTGTGACCATCACTTGTGTTGATACAGGTAAGGCAGCGGGGGTGCATTGAAGACACCAGACAGCCTGGGGGGATGTTGTTCCAAATGTCAACCAAAGATTGGCCCAACTGAGACAGCATTGCTTGCTGGTTCTGGTCCCGTCATTCCATCTCATCCCAGACATGTTCCATGGGGGAGAGGTCTGGAGAAGCAGCCGGCCATGGCTGTACAGCAATGTTAAGCTGTCTCAAATTGTCTGTTACAACATGTGTAACATGTGGGTGTGCATATCCTGCTGTAACGTGACGTTACACCCCTGAACAAAGGGTCCAACATGATCTCAAATGATGTCATCCCGGTAGCGTATGCCATTCAAAATGATGAATCATGATCTCCCAAGACTGGCAAGTGTAGTGTCATGCCACCTCATACCATTACACTTCCACCCCAAAACTTATGATGTCGGGTAACGCAAGTGTTGCTAAAACGTTGTCCGGGATGCCTCTAGACCCTTGCACAACTCCAGATGAAACCTGGACTCATGTGAACATAACACTGCCCCAGTCTTGTCTTCTGAATCTCAGATGCTGTCTACACCAAGCTAGGCATGCCTGACGGTGATGTGGAAGCAAACTAAGGAGTATCGCTAGATGTGTGGGGCGGATGTTGTGCTCCCTGAACAGGTTGCGTACGGTTCTGCCACTAATTGGTCTCAACCCAGGAATTGTCCAAGCTGTTAATGTGGTACTTTGGAATCGATTCGGTAGATGCAGCAACCGAATATTGTTATCTTGATGACGTAACGTCGCACTTGGGTTACCGGCCCCTGGCAGGTCATCAGTGTTGCGCTGCTGTAGATAACGTCTCCAAAGAGATGATATTGTGTTTCGACGAACATTAAAATGTCTGGCAACTTTTATGCAGCATACCCACAACGTGTAGACGTTGATTTTCAGCAAGCTGTGTATGTGGCACTGCATAAGCGTTCTTTACGGTTGAACAAAAGTGTTTTTAAGGTCACCCGATAGTTAAATGATCATTGCGTGCTGTTCACAATAAAAAGATGTGTGCAAGTACCATGCTCCAAACAAACATTACAATTGTACGATGTGCCGTTTTTCGGTTATAATTTCATACAAGGGAGCTTAAGGCAATAGACTATTGACATACATAATATCTAAGGTAAAAGAATCATTCTTGTTGTGAATGGGAAATGACA